GGGGGGAGTGGGAGAGCCCATGTATCTCATTGCAAGATGCGTTTCCAACAAAAATGTACTTTCCACACTAATATCAAAATTCATTACATATGTGTGTGCATTTTGACCAATTACATACAACTAAAAACTGTAATGACAACTTAATACAGAAGAAAAAACTGAGTGTTTATAGACTTGAAATCATAAAAAAGAGAACAACTTTTAAAATTTCAAATTTATATAATATTGTGATAGAGATGTATATAGTTGGGTAAAATTGAGTTTCTAATTCAAGAATATATTGTATTATTACATCTGGCTAGGAGTATATGCTTCAAGAAGAAAACGGAAAAATGTAAACTTTGCAAACGTTAAAAGAAGGGCTTATGTTAATAGTTTTTAAAGGGATGATGGTAGGTATCATTTCACTGGATACAGTTCATCTTTGCTTTAAACTACAAGTACACATATAGTACAAGGGGGCTTCAAAAAGTTTCTGGAAAAACGGAATTAAGAGATAAAGGACTTTTTCCACTAACTTTTTGAGGACCCTCACATATGCTGAAAATTACTTAAATGCAACTGTTTAAGCTTTCGATGAAAAATTTAAAATGTCAATCTAAAATAGGAAGAGGCTTCAAAAAGTTTGTGGGGAAATGGAGTTAAAAGATAATGGAATTTTTCTTTAACTTTTGCAAGCCCCCTCATATATTAAAAGAGTTATACATTTTTTCAAACTGTCTTTCAGGGAATATACAGGCAAACAATTTGAAGAATCTCTTTTAAAAGCCAGTAAAAATTGCTAAATCTTGGGAGAACAATGACAGAGGATATTTTTGTAGCTGGAATAAAAAAAGACTAACTCTATGGACCTGATCCCCATAGCATGTACTCTGCAGTTGTATGCTGCACAACTCCAAGAAACACCATTTGGGTAAACTATAACTTGTACAACCCTACATCACAGCCCTGATTCACACAAAGAATTAGGTGCTCTGAAAAAGCCATTGTGGTACCACGATCAAAGCATTCAGCTGCCAACAAAAAAGCTGGCAGTTCAAAACCAGCAGCCATTTTACGGGAGAAAGATTTCTGTATGACCTTGGTCAATTCTATGAGGAAATTCTACTCTGTCCTATAGGGTCGCTATGAGTCGGAATCAACTAGATGGTAATGGGTAATGGTTCAACCCAGATCTATACAGAGAGGTCAAGTTCTCATTAAAATAAAAAGGAACAATAAAAGCTACCATTCAAATGTCTTCAGCATTATCTTTTCTGTTACTTATATAAGGAGTTTATCTTGAATAAACCAAGTTTGTCAAGAGCCAACGACAAATTTCAACTTTTTTTTTGTAGAAGAAAACAAAAAAGAGATGTTTCAGTTAAAAATCTTCCCCTCTGCTTGTAATCTTGGGCAAGTTACTTAGTTAGCCTCTCTGAACCCCAATTATCTCATTTGTAAAACAGAGATGTTACCTACCTTATAAAATCAGCATAGGGATTACATGAGATAATGAAGTACCTAGGACATTGTAAGTGCTCAATAAAAAATAACTCCTTCTTTTTTCAAAATTTACTTTATTAGTTAGAAAGATAATTGTGATTTTTTAATGAAAAAATAGTTTTTGAAAATGATCTTTCAAGTAAGATGAAAGGATTGTGTCTACATAAGATGGTAGCAAATATAATATGATAGGGAGAAAGAAATTAGAAAGGGCAATGCAAAGGGTCAAAACAAGCAAGACAAATAAGAATGGAAAGCAGACAAGGTTGTAGAAGCAAGACGTGAAATGTCACCAATCATTTAATTAGGGTTTCAACCTAAGCTTTTTTCTATTTCATGATAAGCAAAACTTTCCTACCAGCCTTTCATTTTGAAGGCAAATGTTTGTAAGAACTAGATTCAATATCCAATATACTCACTAACTTGCCTGGAATCAATGGACACTCCTTGGTGCCACAGCTGATTTTCCTATAAAACTAAAGGAAACTTACAATATACAAACTGATTCAATAGCTAGAAAGGCCTCTATTTATGATGCTTTCTGCTTTTATTCTGAAATTTATCACATAAGCGAGGGGATCCTTCATACCAAACTCTGAAAGCTGTCACTACCTAGAGAAAACAGCCCCTAAGATATTGCTAATGGTTGCTCTGGAAATATAAACTAGAGTCCTGGAAACAGTTCAGACACTTGAGTCAAATGAAAAATACAGCATATCAACCGGAACCACCAATAGCTTTGGAATTCCAGCCAGGCTATCACTGCCAAAAGAAAACACAATTTTGGAGAAACAAGGCCAAAACATCTTAGTTAACTGTCATTTATACGACACATGAAAGATATTAAACAAACCAACCACACAGTTTGTCAATAGAATATCATGCTCACCCTTTTTCATTCCCCAAATTGGGGCAAAGATTACTTTGTTTTAATAATAATGACAAACACAAGAATTAATCAAATAGGAAATAGAGATTCAACTCTATGAGGTATTGGTTGCTTTGCTGCAAAACAAACTATTAAAAACAGGAAACAAATGCCAATGATAGGGGGAAAGATGAGTAGAGTATAATATAAGACTACGTAGGTATACGAAGAATGGTATATAGCTTAACAAATGTAAAAAGTACAATGTAAAATGACATGTAAACTGTGATTGCAATTATGCAAAATATATAATATAGTCATGTTTAGATTACGGGTATAAATTACTTCTCTCATGTTCTCTATAGATTATTGTCACATGTTTGGCTTTTTAAAATTAGTTGAGTATGAAGTCGAACACATTTCTTAAATACCTTTGTGTTGTAATAGCTCGGATGGCTGGGTGACAGAGGCCACAGGTTTAACTGGGTGATTTGCAGTAGTAGGCGTTTTTGTTGAGGTTCCTGACAAAACAGTGGGTACTACTGGGCTGCACTGCTGAGGCTGAACATTTTGCATAACAGGACAGGATAAGGAATCTGCAACTGAAGACAAGAGACTATTTCATCTACAGCCACAAACTTGAAAACATATTAAAACAGATTAGTCCTGGTGTGGCGCTGTGGGTTAATGTGCCAGACCGCAAAGCCATTTGAACTGCAAGGTCAGTGGTTCAAGCTCACCAGCTGCTCCTCGAAAACCCTATACAGGATCGTTATGGGTTGGAACCGACTTGACGGCATTTAACAATACAACAATAACTAACAAAGTAGTTTACTGGAAGTTTATAGAAACCTCAGGAGCAACACATTATATATAGAGAAAATCAAGATAGTCCAAAGAAATAATTTTCTAAAAAACCAAAAACAAATTACATATCAGATATTTTAATAATCTTTAATGCTAACTTTCCTAAAACATACATGCTTACTTTCTTAAATGAGATGAATCCAAAAACTTTTTCCTGTAATAACTAATAACTACTACTATTATTATTATTGTACTACTCTGGTAGCGTAGTAGTCATGAATCGGGCTGCGAACCTCAAGGTCAGCAGTTCAAAACTACCAGCTATTCCACGGGAGAAAGATGAGGCTTTCTGCTCCCATAAAGATTTATAGCCTCAGAGACCCTGTACAGGGTCGCTATGAGTCGGAACTGACTCCACGGCATGTAACCACTCAGTGCCTCAAGTGAGAAGATGAATAGAGGTTAATTGTTGTTGTAGTTAAGTGCCATTGAGTCAATTCAGTCTCACAGTGGCCCTGGATAGGGTTTCTAAGTAGTGGCTGTTAGGTTTGAGCTACCAACATTGTGGCTAGCAGTTCAATGTTTATCCTACAGCGCCACACCATAATTCTAAGGTTAATCCCCTCCCTAAAAATGTGGTCCCTGAATTCCAAACATGTTTCTAGTATAAACAAACATTTCATTTTGCACTGTAAACTGCCACTTCACCTGCTGTTTCTAAGCTGACACCTTATTTCACACATAACTACACACTAAAGACATGATGGTAAGTACAGGTTGGACTTCTGAAATAAAGTGCAGATAGTTCATAATAGGTCTTTATAATAGTCCATGGCTTGCACTCCAAGGAGACATCAGGCTTTCCCACTGAATAATTAGTTTTGTTAGTTAAGTGCCATCAAGTAGGTTCCAACTCATAGCAATTCTGTATAGAATTTCTGAGGAGTGGATGGTAGATTTGAACCACCAACCCTACAGTTAGCAGTCCAGTACTTATTCTACAGTACCACACCAGGACTCTGAATAAGTGGTAGGATAGCAATGAATAATACATATGATGGGAGACTTCAAAGGTTCATGGAAAAGTACCATTGTTTTTTAATTCCATTTTCCAAAATCTTTTTGACACGCCTTTATATATAAAGTCAAGTGAGAGAATTAAAAAAAGGTCTCTAAAACACGGAAAAGTGTTTAAAACACTAAAAACACATGTCTTTCTTTTTTGTAAATTAGCATCTTGGAGAAAATATGCTTCAAAAATGATGGCAAGTAAAGACACTTTAAAATACTACTATTGATTATTTTTGAAGTAAGAATTCATCACAACCAGTGCATCTATAATCCAAGTTATATTAAAGGAAGTTCTTTGTTGTTGTTGTTGGTGGTGTGCCGTGGAGTTAGTTCCAACTCATAGTGACCCTGCATAGGGTTTCCGAAGCTATAAATCTTTATGGGAGCAGAAAGCCTCCTCTTTCTCTGGCAGAGCTGCTGGTAGTGTCGAACTGCTGACTGTGAGATTAGCAGCCCAACTCCACTATGCTATCATGGCTCCTTAAGTTCTTTGGAGTAATGTAAAATTATCCCAAATGGAAGAACGGAAGTTTAGGAAGAAGTAAAGAACAACACAAAAGTTTTACAAGTTCTCCAAATTTGGCTTCCAAACATAAGGAAAAAAGTGCTTACTGTTATTAGTACTTTCTCAAAGAGTTAAATTAATCAATATAACACTTCCTGAAAATTCCCATTGCATTTCCCCCAAGAAGGATTACTGAGAACAAGAAATTATTAGAAACACTTTCTATTTAAAATTTGTGGCATAGTAATTTCCTGCTTTATTCCTTAAAATCACCCCAAAGCAACAAGAAATGAGAAATGAAATAAGAAGGTATTTTTTCAGTGAAAATAAGAAACAAATAAATCCTAAACTCAACATGAATGGAAGGGCTGCCAGAAGCATAAGAGATGCAGAGAAATGCACAGAAAGAAGCAGACGGAGGGTTTGGAGCTACAGATACCAGAGCTTGAGAAGCATGCTTACTGAAGGTAAAAGGCACACTGCTCTGTAAACTACATGAAGGACGGGCAGCTGAAGCATCCCTGATGTCACTGCAGTTTTATGTAGAATGGAGGCTAGATGAGCACTCACACAGGCAAGCCATATAAGGAAGTAGTAGTGTCTACTTTCAAACATGGTGAACAGAGCTTTCAGCTGGGATGCTGTAAGAATAGTACTGGAACGCTAACCACAAGGACAGTAGTTCAAACTCACTAGCAACTCCTCAGAAACCCCATGCAACAACAAAGTAAGTCTGTTTGGAAGCAGAGGGTAGGAAAGATTGGGGAAGCCACCCATGACTGCTTCTCTCCATTGGATGGAAGACTGTTGTTAAGTTCTACCAAAACAGTTCTGGTTGGTCCAAAGTTTGGGGAGACTTGGGAACTCCTAACCCCATGGATACTGACCTAGCTACAGAGGGCTAGAGCTGAGAATGAAGTGTCTAGCTGATATGAAGTGAGGGGAGATTCACAAGAACGCCCAAAGGTGCAAATAGTACCCATTTGACCTAGCTTTGATAGCTTGATGATCAGAACTCGACTAGAGGAAGATAAAGAAATCTGATAAAGGAATCAAGTGTAAATTGCCACAATTTGATGAACTTGACCTTTATTTATGAATGCAGTAGCTCAAAATACCAACAAAGAGAGAAGAAGTGGGAAGGAGTCTTCACATCAAGGATCAAACCTATCCCCTCTGTACACACGGTTGAGGGTTGGTAGGGACAGGTAACTTAGACACTGGCTACCAAAAATAGGGGCTGGGGTGGGGATATGAAGGTACGAAGTGGCTGGCTTACAAGTTTTCAAGGAGTTTAATTTCAGAGCAAGGATAGGAAGGTAGAATCCCCACTGAATAGTTTTCATGGGTCTGGTGAAAGGAGACGGGGATACGATTCTGTTCATTCAATAGTGAGTAATTATTGTTATCATGACGAATTGCGACTGTCACAACTGTAAAGGTAGAAGTTGTGTAACAAAAAGGGGAGAGTAGTTAATCTTACATTTCACGAACAGATGACCCTAGGACCCTGAAGAAAGAAGAGCACGAGTGGAATGTGGGATCCTAACCAGGAAGCAGTGACACCAGAAATGGAGGCAGAGGTGATGGCATGGAGACAGACAGCAGCTGAGGAGTCTAGACTCATGGAATGAGAAAGGCTGTGTGCTGGCAGCCAGAAGCCTGGCTTAGAAAATGTGCCCTTTGTTTAAAAGATTATATATTCCTGCATTTTTTTGTGTACATCAAAAACAAAAAGAAGGAATAGAGGCAAATACTGTTAACTGATGGTGCATGGTGGGCATTGTAATCATTGCAGTGAAACAAAATACAACTGGTTGAATGCAAAACCAATGATGTTCTCCCATGTAGACTCTCACTCCATTCACAACAAAAGCTTTAGAAAATAAAAATAAATAAACATAAAAGAAGTAAAGATGAGTGGCTTTGGAAAGGATGCTTGCTTGCTTTCAGAGTGGAGTGTCTCCTGTCACTTAATTGGGGATGTTAGATTTATTGGCCCAAGGAGCTAAAGCTGAGTACCTTCAGGCTGAGGCTTATGGTAGAGTGGTGTGTCCTATGGGCAGTTATCAGCAGTCATAAAACAGATTCAACACTGGCTAGCAGAGAGCGGCCTGACTGTGGGCCTGCCTGAAAAGAGGCTGCCTGGACTGGACAACTATGCCTGAGCATTTCTGATCCTGGAACTGTGAGTACGCTGTCTTGAGTTCTATGTGGCCACTGCAATGAACTACTGAACCAAGATGAAAAGTAGACAATAATGTGGAGAGGTTTTTGGTGTCTATTTTCTTTTGTACTTACCAATTTGGAAGTGAAAAAAACCAGTTTGAATGTGTAGGAAACATCTTCTGTGAAAGTCATTAACAGGGGCTAACTTAGGAAAACGAGTGGAGTGCTGCAGCAAAAAGAACTATCTTCAAGATGGAAATAGTGTAAAAAGGAATGTAGAGGCCACCAAAACATATCCTTATGTGAATCCTCCTATTTTGCCCTATACCTAACTCACTTTAAGACCACTGCAGAGGTGTAAACACATCAATATATAGTAACTGAGATTACAATCATGGCAAGGTACCAGACTAGACAAGGCAAATGGCTGGGCGGTTAACTAAGAGTAGGGCATGGAGAAGGGTTCAAGGAGATGCTATATAATAAATACATTGCAAAAGTAGCTAATTTTCCATTTTTCTGTTAAGTAGTGTTATCCTTAATCTTTATGCAAAATAATTTAACTATTAAATAATTTCAGACTGGAAATGCACTAATATTCAACCATGCTTTGCTGAAGTTTTTCATTCAACCTACCTGTATGTATGGTGTTGTTGTTGTTGGCGGTAGCCAGGGATCCAGTGTGGTTTCGCATGAGATTGTCTTGGGTTGACTGTAGACCTGGAGCTGACCACGATGGAGTATTATATCCTGAAAGGTTCTGCTGCTGCTGCTGCTGCTGTTGTGATGCTGGTGGTGGAAGTGGCGATGGATGGCTGATTGGTGTACTTTGACCAGAAAATGAATTATCTTTAACTGGTCTGACACTAGGAGCATTCTGTGAGGTAAGCACTTGCCCATATGGGTCACCAGCAGGCAGAGAGGGATAAGAAACACTAGGATATGCTGTATTAGAAACAGTTGACATAGCATAATGACCACAAGTAGGGGGAAATCCCTGAGAAGCAACAGAAGAATTGGCAGAGTACATGGCTGGGTTACTGTAGTGATTCACAAAAGAGAATGGCTGGGAGGCACTCGGATGCAAATGAGATGCTGGTAATACAGCACCTTGGAAAGATCCTGAAGTGGATCCCACAATATGAGGGGCAGGAGGGCCCCTGCCATAAGTCTGCTGTGCTCCTGGTTGTTGGTTCATTGTGCTAGGAGTCACCACATTTTGTGTTGGTACTGCATAGTGACCAGGGTAGTAATCACCACACTGGCTATCTGGTGGTAATGAGGTCATTTTCCCAGGTCCTTGAGGGTAATATCCTGAGGGAGCAATATAATTCTGAGGATGCAATCCATACCCAGAGGAAATATGCACTTGATTCTGTGCTGGACCTGAAAGAGAAAAAGAAATATTTACAGGGACTGCTTAGGAAATAACAAAAAATATATAACTAAATAGGTCATAAAAGGAAACACCTCAGGGAGGAAAAAGAGAATCATGGAATAATTTTTAAGCTATTATTTTTGTTAAGGGCTGTTGAGTCAGTCCTGATTCATAGTGAACCTGTATAGGATTTTCAAGGAATGGCTGGTGGGTTTGAACCACCAATCTGTGGTTAGCAGTCCACTGCTGATCCTATAGTGCTATAACAGGGTTCCTTTTAAGCTATTATTCCTATTTAAATATTGTCCCAATTAATTTTTTCCCCATAACAACTTGTTACAAAAGATATACTATCATAGTCCCATTGTGGTAGCCAGCATCCAAGATGGGCTCCTAATAATTCCCATCTCTTGTTATTTACATCCTTGTGTGGCCCCATACTGTGCGAGGATTTGCCTAAGGACTAGTAACATGGCAGAAGTGATGACATATGACTTTCAAGATTAAAAAAGGGCTGTGGAATCATTTTGGACTCTGGCTTTCTCTCAAATCACTAAGTCTGGGAAAGTAGGCTGTCATATTTGAACAACTCTATTGCAAAACTCATGCACTGAGGAACTGAACTCTCTGGCAAAGAGCCAGGGAGAAACAATACTCACTACCTGCCAACAATCATAAGCTTGGAAGCAGATCATTCAAACTCAGTTGAATCTTGAGATGATTAGAAACCTAGCTGACAGTTTGAATACAATCTCCTAAGAGACCCTGACCCAAAACCACCCAGCTAGATTGCTCCTGTCGCTCAGAAACCATAAGATACATATTTGTTGCTTTAAATTGCTAGCTTTTGGGGTATTTTGTTATGCTAATACATTCAGCTTGGCATTCAAATCTTTTATTTATCTATTTAACTATAAAAATAATAATATACTTACTGTAAAAAGAACAAAAACAAAGCTGTGGTACTGTGAAGAATACAGAATATATCATGGACTGCCAGAAGAAAGAAATTCATTTTAGAAGAGGACATTTTGGTTGGGAAAGCAGAGGGCCAGCAGGAAAAAACAACAACAGGGAATGAGACTGGTTAACCCAATAGTCTCAGCAATGGTTTCTAACATAGCAAAGATCATGAGGATGGTACATTCTGTTATACAACCATGAGTCAGGGTGACGATGGCAACTAACAGCAACAACACTAACAACAAACATTTTTAAAAAGTATATGAAGTAAAAATAAAAGTTTCTCTCTCACGTTGGTAGCTGATATGTACCTCCCAGAGTAAGCACATTTAACAGTTTCGAGTGTATCCTTTGGGAATATGTAATAAACACACTGGTGTAGGTCACTTAAGCCTGACTTAATGACCATTTGGGCAATCTCCGATCCCATATATATCCAATTACATATATTTTTTGTGGTCTCCTAAGGTTTTTTGTTTTGTTTTTATTTTTAAGGAAAATCTGTTCTTCTTTTGTTTTCAAACACCCAAACCTCCTGAACAAGAGGTGAAGCTCCAGGGCACATCCCAATCCCCACAGTGGCTCTGCCTCCTTCTTCCCTCTACTCCTGGCTTCCATTCACCTGCCCAAGCAGCCATGCAGCCTTTCACCTGGCACATAGCAGCACCTTCCATACAGCTCTTTTTGCTCCTGCTAGTGGCACCCTCTAAAGAGCCCTGGTAGCGTGGTGGTTACGAATCAGGCTGTGAACCTCAGGGTCAGCAGTTTGAAACTACCAGCTGTGGGAGAAAGATGAGGCTTTCTGCTCCCGTAAAGATTTACAGCCTCGGAAACCCTGCACAGGGTAGCTGTGAGTTGGAACCGACTCCACGGCACATTACAACAACAACAACAAGTGGCACCCTCTGGATCTAAGATGTTGTAAGCTCCTGGCTCCACGCAGTGGCAGCTGCACACAATCAGAAAGTAGCTGCACCAACAGGGCAGTGGCAGCTAGGGGCACATCCCACTACTCCTTGCCAGGTCCCTGCCCTCCAAATCCTAACTGCGCACCCCCATCCCCACCCTGTACCAGGAAAAGCTCCAATTCAGCTGTGGACATAACCCCTGTCCAGCCCAGCTGCAACATTAGCCTCCTATTACCAGTAGATACAACTCTCGGGCTTTGTCCATTAGGTTCCCATAAGGTTTAACTACAAAGTGTACCAGGTCTGCCTGTACAACATTCAAATCATTTAACATCCCATTTCACAGAATGTATCATGAATGTTAAGCAAGGCATACCTGGAAATAAGAATATAAGTACTGGGGTACAATATTAACAACAGTGGCATGAGACGGCAGAAACCTGGAGACAGTACGAGACAGCTGTGGTAGAGCTTACCGATACCAGTTTCTAAGAGCTGTAACACTTGCCCGACAAGGCCTCAAGCAGGGCCCAGCAAGAACTGTAACCTGAGTTGCTCTTGTTACTTCTGAGTCATTTCCTGATCCTAGGTTATACCCTGTTACTTCCCTAATAAACCATTTAACTGAAAGTATGATTCAAGAGTTCTGTGAGGCATTGCTGTGAATTACTGAACTCAAAGAAAAACTCAAAGGGGAGGGGAAATAGTTGATGTTAGAGATGAAGAAATGGTATAGCAGTTTGGGAAAGCTGGATATTTGGGACATCTTTAACCTCTGCCTTGTAGAAACTAGCTTTGTGCTGATCTCTATAGAAGACATTATGCACTTAAGTACAAATTTGTTTTGTTTTGATTTTTTAAACACACATATAGAACAATGTTATCATTCTACAACTTGCTTGCTTTATTTCTTATATCCTAGGGATCCTTCAAAGGAGCTCTGGTAGCGTAGTGGTTACGAATCGGGCTGCAAACTGCAAGCTCAGCAGTTCAAAACTACCAGCTGTTCCGCAGGAGAAAGATGAGGCTTTCTGCTCCCGTAAAGATTTACAGCCTCGGAAACCCTGTACAGGGTCGCTATGAGTCGGAACCGACTCCACGGCACATAACCACCAGGGATCCTTCAGGAATCCTAGTGACATAAAGAGTTATGCTTAGAGCTACTAACCACAAGGTCAGCAGTCTGAACACACCAACCAGGCTGTGGAGATGAAGCTGTCTGCTCCTGTAAAGATTTACAGCCTCAGAAACCCTAGGGAACAGTTCTACTCTGTCCTCGAGATCTGCTTATGTTTCCTAATCCCTGGTGGGTTAACCACTGGGCTGCTAACCGAAAGGTCAGTGGTTCTAACCCATCAGCTTCTCCACAGGAGAAGCTCCTGTGAAGAGTTACACTCTCAGAAGCGCTATGGAGCAGTTCTATTCTGTCTTACAGGGATGATAAAAAACAAAATTGACTTGATGGCAGTGGGCTGTTTTTTTTCTGTTCTTTGTTGTTGTTGTTGTTAGGGGCCATCGAGTCGGTACCGACCCATAGCGACCTTATGCACAACAGAATGAAACACTGCCTGATCCTGGGCCAACCTTACTACTGTTGCCACGCTTGAGTCCATCAATGTTGCCACTTGGCCAATCCATCTTGTTGGGAGTCTTCCTCTTTTTCACTGACCCTCCATCTTACCAAACATGATACCTGCTAGTATTTTATAAACCCTCCATTATTCCATTTAAAAATTTACATAGTATTTCATTGTATAGATGACATTATTTACTAACAATTCACTGATAAATATTTCAGGGGTGAACTAATTTATATATTTACAAAGTGTATTCATAATAAATCTATAGAATATATTCCTAGCAGTGAAACTGGAAGTTCAAATGTTTGTGCTTTTAAAACTGACCACTGCTGGTAAACACAATTATATATGTAATCCTGCAATAACAGTAATAATAAACAGTAACTTTTTAGAACTAATTAGGTATATGGATTCCTGGTATGGCACTGTGGGTTAATGCGCTGGACTGCAAAGCCAGTTTGAACCTCAAGGTCAGTGGTTCAAGATCACCAGCCAACAAACCCTATACCAGGTCGCTATGCATTGGAACCAATTCGACGGCACTAAGGAGCTCTGGTAGCATACTGGTTACGAATTGGGCTGCTGACCTCAAGGTGGTCAGTTCGAAACTACCAACCATTCCGAAAGATGAGACTTTCTGCTCCCGTAAAGATTTACAGCCTCAGAAACCCTGTACAGGGTTGCTATGAGTCAAAACCGACTCCACGGCACATAACTATAAGTAGCAAAGGCATGAAAAGTTCTTATCTATACCAAACACTGTAGGGACTGAGTCATTGGGCTTGGGAACTTGGGCCACAGCTCCTAAGCTATGGGATATCTTAATTAATTGGCATAATACAGTCCATAAAGACAATATTATAAATCTTATGTTGGTGAATAGGGACTGTGGTCCTAAAAGCTTAAGAGCAGCTATCTAAGATGCAACTTAGAAAGTTGGAACAAAGAAGAAAACCAAAGACTTAAGGAAATAATTAGTCCAAAAGGCTAAAGGACCATGCAACCCCAGTCTCCATTACACTCAGGCCAGAGGACCTGTACCACTACCAACGACTTGGATGGGGATCACAACAGAAGGTCCTAGACAAAGTAGGAGGAAAATGTAGAACAAAATTCAAAATCACAAAAAACACCAGATATAATTTCCATCAAGATGACAGACTAGACAGATAGTACATGAACTCACTACAACAAAGATAGGAGAAGAATTCAGGAAAACACTACAAGATCAAACAAACAAAATAAAAGCAAATTTTGAAATAATACAAAACCTGCAATTAGAAATATAGAGGATTAATACTAAAATTTCAGAATCGGACAAAACATTACAAGGCAAAGGAGTAGATTCAAAACAATGTTCTACTGAGGGGCATAACATGATGGAAAAATTGAACAGTTAGGATATCTTTAACCTGCAACTCATAGGGACCAATTTTGTGTTGATTTTTATAAAAGAAATTAGTAATGCAGCACCTTAATCAAACATCTGCAACAATTAGAAAAAGAGCAACAACGTAAGCCTACTACCACCAGAAGAAAAGTAATAATAAAGGTTAG